GGCGGTATCTGCTGCGGGCAGCCGATCTCGGCCCCGCCGCCGTGCGCAGTCCTCGACACGCGGGCGCCTCTGGCGCCGGGAGGCGCCGGGAAGACGGGCTGAGCTGAGCTCGCTGACCCCACCGCTGCTGTCAGCTGCACGCGAGAGTGACCTTTCGCACGAAGGCCTCCTCCTCCCCCTCCGCCTTCACCCCTTGCCCGACCCCCCGGGGGTCCGGACACCCCCCCGGTCACCGGTCCGGCCCCCCTCCTGTTCGGACCCCCCCGGTCTGGACCCCTCCCGGTCTGCAGACCTCCGACACTCCCCCAGTCCGGGCCCAAGTGGGCCCCCCGACCGCTGAATCCGATGATAGTAGCCGTTTGCACACCTGGTGATGTCCTAAATGGGCTCCCGCTTAGGCCGCGCACGAAGATCACTCCTGGCCAGGGTCACTCTTGCACGCAGCCGATGTTGCCTCCCCCCCTTTCGTCGGGCCTGGTCTGCCCGCCGAGCGGAGCGCCTCGGCTACGAGCCGCCCGCGCCCCAGACTCCCCCTGATGCACGCGCCGGGGGCGGCGTCTCGGAGGCGCGCTTCTCTCCGCCTGCATACTGCCCGTCCCAGCGGGTGATTTCAAGCATCGAGCCCAGGCGTCTGGGAGGAAGGAAAAAACACACACAGACACAATTAATCGTCGATCCCCCGGAAAATATGGGAAGTGGTGGGGAAGACAAAAACCAAGAAAAAATGAGAAAATATGGGGAATATTTTTATTTGTGTGTATTTATTTGTGTGTCCCAGGGCCCCTTCATTCTGGGAGGTGCACTGGCTCGGCCGTGGCATTTTGTTCCTTAATATGGGCCTCCAGAGGGCGCTTTCGTGACCCAGGGGCCTTCAAAACCCGACCCCATGGACCACCAAAGCCCGATCCGGGGACGGAGGTCTGCCCCGCCCACTGCGGAAGGGTCGAGACTTCTTGGGGCCGCGGGTCGTAAAAAGCATACCGTCGGATATTCGTGGAACGGGAAAACGAAGAGGAGAAGGACGAGGAGAAAGAGGAGGAGGAGGAGGAGGAGGACGAGGAACCGCATGCGAACCCTGCTGCCGGGGCCCTCGGTGGAGCTCCCTATGGGGCCACGAGCCGTGTGAGGGGTGTGCCGAGATGGACGCGCGGTGGGCGGGGAACCGCATGCGAACCCTGCCACTGGAGCCCTCGGTGGAGCTTGCTCTGGGGCCACGAACCGTGTAAGGGGGTGCCGAAATGGACCTGGGGTAGGCGTGGAACGTCATGCGAACCCTGCTGCCGGGGCCCTCGGTCGAGCTCTCTATGGGGCCACGAACCGTGTGAGGGGTGTGCCGAGATGGACGCGCGGTGGGCGGGGAATTGCATGCGAACCTTGCTGTCGGGGCCTTCGGTGGAGCCCCCTCTGGGGCCACGAACCGTGTGAGGGCGTGCAGGAATGGGCGGGGACCGATGACGATAATGGTGATGATGACGGCCGTAATGGTGATGACGATGGTGATTACGATGACAGTGGCGAACTTGATGATGGTGATGATGATGATAATGATGATGATGCTGATGCTGATGCTGATGCTGATGCTGATGATGGTGATGGGAACGATGATGACGATGTGATGACGACGATGGTGTGGTGATGATGATGGTGGTGTTGATGTCGGTAATGATGCTGACGATGATGATGACGATGATGATGATGATGATGATGATGATGATGATGATGGTAGTGGCGGTGGTGATGATGATGATGGTGGTGATGATGATGATATTGATGGTAGTGGTGGTGATGATGATGATGATGATGCTGACGGTGATGGTAGTGGTAGTGATGATGTGATGATGGTGATGATGATGGTGATGATGTTGATGACGATGGTAATGGTGATGATGTGATGATGATGCTGATGATGCTGATGATGATGATGAGAATGGTGATGATGATGATGATGATGCTGATGATGATGATGATGATGATGATGATGATGATGATGATGATGATGATGATGATGATGGGAGGAGGAGGAGGAGGAGGAGGAGGAGGAAGAGGAGGAGGAAGAGGAGGACGAGGACGAGGACGAGGACGAGGACGAGGAGGAGGAGGAGGAGGTGGGAGAGGGCAGCGGGAGGAGGAGGAGGAGGAGGAGGAGGAGGAGGAGGAGTGACGCGGGGCGCTGTCTCTTCAAAACGCGGACCCAACACCACAGGATGGTTGGGACAAAATCCGCCTCGAGACGCTTGGGGTTCCTAAGACCGTGCGGTGACGGACCGCGCGGAGACGTCGAAACTCCAAGAGACCTCTCCGCGCGGTCCGTCACCGCAGGGCCTGGGGACCTCAGAGGCCCCAGCCGCCCGAGACGCCCGCGGAGAACGACCCGAGTCCCAAAACCGTGCGGTGATCCCGAGCCCCCACTGACCCTCTGGTCACCGCTCCGTCTGGGGGCCCCCGAGGCGTCGGAGGTCGGCCACGCGCAGAGGGCGGCAGGGGGAGGGGGAACGGCGTC